AGCAGGGAGCCCGATGCGGGGCTCGATCCCAGGACCCTGGGATCATGACCTGAGCCGAAGGCAGCCGCTTAACCGACTGAGCCACCCAGGCGCCCTTGAGCTATATTTCAAAGGACAAAATGACAGGCCTTGAGCATAGGCTTGCAAGACTGGATATAGAAGAGAAAGCCCTGATGAGGAATTGGCAAAATGTTTTAAGTTCGTAGCCCAGGAGACTAAAAACAGGTGGCCTTGGCCCTGAGCAAAGTGAGCCCAGAGGAAGCTCTGGTTTGGGGAAAATGTCCAGTTCCTTCTGGATTCTTCTCGCTTTCACGGCCGTCAGTGGGACAAGTCCTCCATGCTGCTCTGCTTTCCGCCAGGGACAGACTGGTGTGAGGACTTGGGGCCCTTCCCATTCCTCAAGTAGACTTTAAAAAGCGAGAAGGGTGGTGCAATCCTCTCTCATCTCTAACATCAATTTCTGTCTGGCAGCTGACATTGCCTGCTGCCTCCCTGAACTCTGACTTCCAGACACCAGAAAATCAGACACCCAAGGTCCAACCTTAAAACACCGCCCAGAAGAGGGCAGTGGCCAGAACCACATTCACCGGGCTCTGGGAACCGCCCGGCGCCTTCAGGACTCAAAGTAGCATTCCCATGCGGGCTCGGCTCGGGGCCGGGACAAAGGTCCGGCATTCAGCCGACACCTCAGAACCGCAGGCCTGGAAGCAGAGGTCCACGGTCCCGCGTCTAATTCCAAATCCCTGTTGCTCGGAATCTAAAACCCCGACTTGTTGGGAAATCAGTCAGAAGGTATAAAAAAAAAACAAACAACACCGAACAAAACATAAATGAGCCCAGACCTCTTGGGGTGAAGAGGGGTGGCCCTTCCTCAACCCCACCCGCTGGTGACTCACCTCCCTCCAAACCAGGGCTCGCCCCTCCCGTGCCCGGTGCCAGGCGAGCAGGGTGGGGCGGGTATTAAGGTGGGCTCCATCCCCAAGCCCTGGGCGGACCGACATGCTCCGGCGTGTCCCCGCGGGTGTCCCTGTTTACTCCGAGCCCAGGAGCGAGGTGGGGGCGGGCCCTCGCAGCCCCTCCCCCACCCCGCCCCCCTTCTCCAAAGGCCCCAATCCCGGTCTCGGTTTTACAAAGTCTCCAAATCAAACCTCAGCTTTTCCCCGTATCTTCCTCGCGGACTGGCGGCCCCTGCCCCCACTCCAGGCAGGAGAGGCACAGTAAGGGTTCCCCGAGGAAATCAGGCCTCGGCTCGGACCCCGGAGTCTTGGGTCCCTAGACGGAGACTGAACTCCTAGGGCATGACACAGAGTTTCAAAGAGAAGCCCCTCAGCTCTCGCCCACTGCCCAGTCTCCCCTCGGCCCTTCAGCTCTCTGAGGCACGAGGGAGAAAGGCCCAGTCGGGGGAGAAGGCGCTCCAGACCCCACACTGGCTGGAGGGGTCCGGGGACCTCCACTCTCGGACCGCTGGCCAGCGCTCCAAAGCCTGTCGCGGCTCTGACTCCCCCTCCCCAGGACAGCGCGCCAAATCGGCGCATGCGCACTCACAGGATTGCCGCGTAGCTCTTTCTCCCCCCCCTTCTTTCCCCGCCCCTTCTCTCCCTCCCTCCTTTGCCCGTCCCCTCCCTCTACCCCTCTCGCCCCCCCCTCCCCCGGTCGCGGCACCTCAGTCCGGGGAACAGTGGTGCGAGCTCCAGGCCCGTGCACTGAGGAGGCGGAAACCGGGGGAGCCCCCAGAGCTCCATCAGGCCCCTTCCAAAGGCTCCCCCACCCGGTCCACGCCCCCCACCCCCTACCCCGCCTCCTCCCAATTGTGCATTTTTGCAGCCGGAGGCGGCTCGGAGATGGGGCTGTGAGCTTCGCTCGGGGAGGGGGAAAGAGGGGAGAAGAGAAAAGCTGGGGGTGAAGGGTTTGGATTTGGGAGCAGGGGGCGGACGCACCCCCGTCAGCAGGCCCTCCCCAAGGGGCTCTGAACTCTACCTCTTCACCCACGCCCCTGATGCTCTTTGCTTAAGGATAGGATAAGAATAGAGGAGGAGGAGGGGAGAAGGAGGAAAAAGGGGGACCCCCCAATTGGGGGGGCGACGGCAAGAAGTAGCAGGACCAGAGGGGAGGGGGCTGCTGCTTGCATCAGCCCACACCATGCTGACCCCGCCGCTGCTGCTGTTGCTGCCCCTGCTCTCAGCTCTCGTCGCGGCCGCTATCGACGGTGAGTGAGATTCCCCGGCCCCCTTGGACCCCTGGGGACACCCACTCCCCAGCCCCCACTCCTGCGTTCAGATGGGGAAGGGAGACGCGGGAGGGGGTGCCTTTTGTTATCCCAGTCCAGCTGACACAGCAGCGGCCAGACTGGGGGCGGGGATGGGGGTCCGATTTGGAGGATGGGGGCCCTGGGCAAATGATGCTTCCGGGACCCCCCAGCCCAAACAAAGACCAGAGGCCTGGGAAGGGAGAAGAGGGCTCCCCTTTTTTCTGATTCTGGGATCCAGAGGCCTTCTCTTCCTATATCTGGTTGGGGAGGGCCTCTGCCTCCCCTACATCCTTCCCCCCCATCTGAAATGTGAAGGAATCCGAATTTGCAATGTACGGCTGCAAAAGGGGGGGGGGGGGCTTTTGCAGTGGCCTCTGAATCTGGAAGGGGAGCTGGGTCAGGGTTGCCCTGCTGGGCAGAGGGCAGGCAGGCCCGGGAAGGCTGTGGGTGGGGAGAGGGAGGGCCTCGGGGAGGGCCCCCTGCTTGGGTGTGGAATCTGGGCCCGGGAGACCAGGCTTGGAGGCCTGGGTCCAGGATCCAGCGGGGCTGCTCGCCTGGGTTCCTAAGTGGGCACTTCCCCCTCTCAGGGCCTCTGTCAGTGGCCTGGATAGGGCTGTGTTGGGGGGGGGGGGCGGCGATGCTATGTGACTTTGAATTTTCCTTCTTAATTCCTGGGAGCTTTGAGATGAAAAACGTCAGATGTCATCATTGGGGAAGGGGACTGGAGAATGGCCTGGAATGCTGAGGTGGGAGGGAGGAGGAAAGCTGGTTTCTCCCTGACTTCTGGCTTGATCACAGTTTGGACTGGAAGGAGAGTTGGAGGTTGGATGGGGGTTATGGCTATGCCCCTGCCCCCCATTTCCCTGCTCCTTTAGTAAATGTGTTTATTTCTCTCCATCATTTCCCCATCTCCCCTCCTTCCCCCCCCACACACTTTGTATACTGCAGTTAGGCTTTAGCTAGAACAGCGTCCTTTTGGGGAAATGAGGAGCCCCCTTTCCCCCTTTATGTCAGCTATTTTTCTTTTCCTTGTGAGTCACTGGTTCAAGTCTTGCCTAAGCTTTGAGCTGGGATCATGGGGTTGGGCTGGGCTGGGCCCCTGATTTGAGGATCTCATACCTTCCCGTCACTTTAGTCCATCCATCCAGGGAAAAAACTGGGCCCAATACCATCATGCACCCCTCCTCCATCTTCTAAATTTTGCCAGATTGGGATTGGGGAAGTTTTTCTCTGAAACCAGATTATCTCTCCCTCTCCTCCCCTCCCCCCAACTCGCTTCAGTTAGAGGAGAGAGGTTAGGGGGTCAAGAAGTAACTGTGCCCAGAAAGACAGTATTTTCAGTGACCCCCAATGATGCCATCTTGGGGACTGTCTGTCCCCTTCCCCACCACTACCTCAATTATCTGCCCCAGAGGAGGAAAGAGGATCTCTCCTGAATATGCTCCAGATCAGCCCTCACAGGCAGCCCTAGCCCATGATTTCCTTGTTATACATGTTCTTTCCTCTTTTTCTCAACCCTGTGAGGTAGAAGGGGAAACTAAGGCAGAGAGGTTCAGGTGGGTGACTTCTAGGAAGAATAGAAAAAACATTTTAAGAGAGAGAGTCTCATCAGGAACCCCATGATGGAGTTAGGCAGAAGCAAGAGGGGTCTCTGTGGAAAGCAGAAAAAGGTCCCCAGCCCACTCAGGAAGGGCCCTGGTTGCTTCACCCCCAAGGTTCTAAGGTGGTTCTATTTACCATGCTATAGGTTGGTTGGTGGTGGGTGGAAATGGGAGATACTGGTCATGTTCTCCTTAACTGTCTCCCTCCTCTTTCTTAAAATTTCCACTGAGCCCACATCTGTAACCCAGCTCAAACTAAACTGTCTCCAAAGTCCCAGGAAGAGGACCCCTCCCCAGACACACTCTACTGCTCTTACCTTGGGAATGGGAATATGAATCATTGGTTCTACCCCACTCTGAAGGGTGGGAAAGGGGAATTGCACAGACCTTTAGGGCCAGTGCTATCCAGGGCAGCCTAGAGGATTCTCTTATCTCTACCCCTGCCCTCATGCCTTGGGCCCACAGACATGGAACGTTGTTTGCTTTCCAAAGAAGGAAACCTCCTGACCCCAGATACCTTAGTGTCTAACTTTCCTCTCTGCTGCTGTCACAGGCCTTGGGGCCTCCCCCACCTCTTCTGCTTTGTCAGCTATGCCTGAACTCACATGGGGTTCCCTTCTCTTTGGGGAGCAATGTCACCCCACTAGTAGGCAGAATTGAGTGTAGTTGCTACCAGTGAGGATGGGGAAACAGATGAGGTGGGGGATGGGCAAAGGGGTTATTGAGGACCCTGCTGAGATTAGGAACATCTTGGTGTGGGAAGGGCAGCCCCAGCAGACCGGGCTCAAGGAAGGCGGACTGTCTCCTACTCTCCACACCCCTCTCCACACACCCCTTCCTTGAGCCAGTGTATTACCAGTTATCAGACAAGCTGCACAGTTGAAGTGAGTTATGAGGCTGAGGTGTTTGCCTCCTGGCTCTCTGAGAGAAGGTTCCAAACTCCTTTTTTCCCCAGCCAGACCCAGATCCTTGAACACCTCCCTTCCCCCTGGTCTTTCAAAGCCGAGATGTGTAGCGCATTGATTTGGGGATGGGAGGGGTATTTTGATGTTCGAGGTTGCTTCACAAGACTTCCTTTTCGTCCAGTCTTGCTCCCCCTTCCTCCATTTTCTCCATATTTTTTTTTTGCCCCCACCCTTTCCACTGTCACTGAGCTTCTTAAGGATGTCAGCTGGGGTCCTGGCCAGACCCTGTCCACATCCCCCGACCTCTTCCAAACTCCTTCCTCTAGGAAGCCCTTCTTTACTCAAGTCTAACTTTCTTTCCTCCTGCTGCCATCTTAGCCTTTGCACATCAGAACCCCAAGCTTGTTGCTTGTTGAGACTACTGAATAGTCTCTTGTTGGGGTCCCCTCACTCTGTGGACTCGCCAGCATTCAAGCCCTCTGGCTCTGGATTGGGGGGGTCATCACCCTTGGGGAATCTGGGTGCAGTTGATTGGGGCCATGCAAGGTCCTTGACCTGGTGGAGCTGGGTGCCGGGTGTGAGCATTTGGAGAACTCAGTCCCACCCCACTGTGTTCAGTCCCAGATTTCAGCCCAGTTAGCAGGATCCTGCATTGTTTGGAGAAGGAAGCCGTTGGCTCTGGAGTGCTTCCGGTGCCGTGGCCCCAGGCACAGTGTAAAACCTCCCCAGGAAAGAGGTGAGGGATGGTGGGAGAGACGTATTTGTACCCCTTGCTCCCTCAGACGAGATGAGAGTCTCTCCCAGGCCTTGGCTTCCCTGGGTGAAGAGCTCCAGTATTCTTCCCCCACCTCCCTATTCTGTGGGAGGCATTAACCCCTGTTCTGGGTATCCCTCGGGTCACACACTGCTAGGGCAGGGACTCTGTCTCCCTGAGTCAGGATATATGCTGCCCACACCCTACTCTGAGTCTCAGGAGGCTTATTATTTTCTGGGTTCATCCCAAGACAACCGTGCCATTATCTTGGCAACTTCTGGGCTAAGACCCCTTCCTGTCTATTTTTCCTCCCATCTGCTGTCATTGGTGTATGCTGTCTTGGCCTCTTGGGACCTCTGTCTCTCATCCTCTTGGTTCATCTCTCTCTGGTTGCCCACCCTTTGAGGCATTCTCTATCTCGCTTGGTCTCCATTGCTTGATTTGTCTCTGCCTGTCTCCATCCACCTCCATCCAGGCCTGTGGGTGTCCCCAGAACTACCTGAGAACAGACGTCCCTCCTGGGCTTTCCCACCTGCTCTCCAGTCCCCACCTTGTCATTTTGGAGTTATTCTCCCCCTCCCAGGTCAGAGTCGGAATGTCCTGTTGTGCAGCTCCCCTCTCCACTTTCCTCCAAACTTCTCTTTCTTCCTCCCCCTCCACTGAGTTTAGGAATGGGTTTTGGAGAGAATGTTTCTGGAGGAAGGGAACTTGATACCCTTCGTGGGCTGAGTAACAGGGGAAAGGAGATATTTCAGAAGGAAAGGGGGAGGTTAGACTTCTAGCAGAACTTCCCTATGACCTGAGAACTGGTGAAAGGTGTGGGGAATAGGTCAGGAGCTCAGAGCTTCTGCTTCTGCTGAGCATAAGCCATGTGTGTGTGTTGGGGGGTAGGTGGAGAGGGCTTATAAGGGCCCGGTGAGAGATATATGATGACCTCTGGAGGCATTCGAGGGGTCTGAGTTTTACTTATGGAGAAAGGAGAAGATGGTGGGGAGGTCACTGGTCAGGCTAATGTCCTGCTGAGTCAATATTGACTCAGGATGGAGGGGGAGACCCTTCCCCTCCCCTGGCAGTCCAAGCCATCCTGTCTGTACGTCTGTCCAGGCCGCAAAGCAGAGGCCCAGACTCAGGAATGACAAAAATGTGTCTGAGCCTCACTGAGCTTCGGGAAGGAGCCACCGGGTAACACCCAAAATACATAAAATTCAGTGAAAAGCTCTCGGTTTGGGTCTGGGAGGCCCTGCTGCCCCACCCCCATATGTTTGAAAGCTTAGATTCCTACAGGCTCTGCCCCCCAGCCCCTGGCCACCCCCTGGCTCCTCTGTTCCCTTAGATATTTCATGTGGTTCCCTTTAGAAAATATCCCCCAGCCAACACAGCCTATCTCTCCCTCTGCTGTGTCTGCTCTTGAAAAAGGCCTCAAGGGTCTCTTTCACACTTTCCTGGCCTCAAGTCTCCTGGTCTTTTAGGAGGAAGTGCCATCTGAGGTCTCAACTCCCTTCCTCACCCTCACTGCTCCCACCGGGATCAATGGATGGGTCTCCTCCTCTGGAGAAGACTCTCTCAGGGTCTGTTCTTTCCTGTCATCCTCTCTTCTCTGGCCAGGGACTCTTACCACCCCCTTCCCCACCCCACCCCCAAGGTCCCAGAATGGGACAGAGGACGACAGCCAAGGCTCAAGCAGGGCAGTGGGGTCCGTGTTGTGTCTGGACACACACCCAAGCCTACACCTCCTGTCCCGGCTCCAGCTTGGTGGCCCTGGGGGCCATGGCTGGGCTGGGTGCCTGGGCTTGAGGGGGGGGTGGGCAGGGGTGCTGGCTAGAGTTAGCATGGCGGTCACATTCATCTCCAGGCAAAGCTGAGAACAGACGGCCCCTGTGTCCTGGCGTTCTCGCTGCAACCTCGCTCACTCTCCTCCCTCTCCAGTCCTCTCCTCCTTCTTCTCCTTCCTCTGTCTTCCCTCTCTGTTCCGTTCTTGTCCCTCTCTGCCTCCTCCACCACCCCCTCCTCACTCCAAGGAGCTCTGAAGGTCACTGCCACCCCCTACAATCTCTTTCCCCTCTCCTAGTGCCAGAGAACCAAAATGTTCTCCCTGCTGGTTCCTTTTCTTCATCCTTTTTCATCTAGCCCCATCCTCATGGCCAGTGAGGAAACCACCTGTTTGTTCAGTTACTAAAATCGCTCTGTGCCTCAGTTTCCTCATCTGTATGATGGAGATCGCAACAGTACCCACCCCCCAGGGTTGTGAGGATTTCAGGGAGTTAACACGTACAAAGTGTTTCAGATCAGTGGCTGATGCAGAGTGACCAGGTTGAAAGGTGTTAGCTCATATCATTAGGAAGCCCCAGTTCTCACGAGGGGGTTAGGCAAGGGAGGCCAGAGGCTGCTTGCTCCTGAACTTGGGGCCATGTTGTTCCCTCACCTAAGTGGCAGGCCACCAAGATGGGTCTTCTGGGTGCTGGCGTCAGATGCAGAAGGCTCCGCTGAGGGGAGTGGGGTTGGCTGGCAGTTCTAAGCCGATTACAAGTGCCCTACCCCACCCCCACTTCTATGTAGACTGCCCCAAAGTAGGTTATTTGTTTCTTTCCTCCCCACTCCCCCTGAAGGAAATCAAAGACAGGCCTCAGCCTTCAAACTCCAGATTCCTGGGGCTTTCTCCACCATCCCTGACAGGAAGGAAGTGCTTTCACATATCTCTCCAGGATCCTTGTGCTGCCCTGTCCCGTGGGAGCAGGGCAGCGCCCCCAAGTCCCTGTGCCCTGGGCCCGAAGAGGTGCTGCTGTGGGACAAGGGGCCTGAGTGCGCCTCTTCCTTTCCCTCCCCCCACCCCCCACTCCCCTCCCTCCACACGAGCACATCTGGTTTGTGAATCTCTCTCATTCCAGCTTTCGGAGTTTGCCAGCTGCTGTTTCCTCAGCCGAGTTCAGGCCAAAAGTGGGGGTGGGGGACGGTGGCGGGGGGTGCAAAGTGAAGGCCAATGGAGGGGAGATCGTGGCCAGGACATGGAATGGAGGGGGGGTTGGAGTGGCCAAACAGTGACCTCACGGGGCTATGAGTTCTGCCCTGGGGAGGAATGGGGGCAGGGACTAAGTCCATGTGAAGGGGTAGGGGTGGCATGGGGGCCATTTCTGGGCTCCAAACAGCCCATCTGCCTTTAGTCCCATTCTAGCCCCTTCTACCCCCAACCCCCACCCCCCCACCAGCCAGTCTCGGCTGGCCAGGGGAAGAGGACCGGTCTCCGGCATGCTAACTAGGCTGGCGGGCTGTTTCCCCGGGAAGACCTCACAGCTGGCCCAGTGGGGCAATGAACTCAGCATTATCCACCTCCTCAAGGGGCCTTTATTCGCTGCTCAGGGTGGGAGGTAGGGGAGGGGGATGCCGGGGGTGGGGGAGCCTGGCCAGGCCATCCCTGATGTGTTTCCTGAACTCGGCTCTCATCCTGGCCAGGGGCCTGAGTGCAGTGCCCTCTGCCAGAGATGGGGGTTAGGGAGGGAGGACATGGTCTCCGTGTGGCCCTCCTCAGACTCTACCCTCCCTGCTCGGAGCCCTGACATACTTTATTTATGCTCTGTCCCAGCCCTGAGCTCATTCTGCCCTGCATTTGATTAGTTGTGTACAGCTGTCTTCCCAGGGAGACTGGGGCTCCCAAGGGAGCAACTCACTCCTCCTTGGCACCCCAGTGGCTAGTGCAGTACCTGGTACAGAGCTGGTCTTCAGTGCATGCCAGCTGAATGGAGATGGAATTGACCACAGGCCGAGGAAAAGGCAATGAAGGGCTGGGAGACTAGGAGCCCAGCCCTGGGTGGGGACGAAGGAGGGTGGAGGGCTTTTCTTCCCATGGAGGACATGGTGATGGGGTTGGAAGGAAGAGCTCCGAGTATCTCTCAGTGGGAGTGGGAAGATTGATGTGGACTGCAAGGGTTAAAAGCGTAGAGTTGGCTCAGCTGGTTTCAGTCCTGGTTTTGTCACTTGCCTGCTATGTGACCTCACCCTCTCTGGGGCTTGGTTTCCTCATCTATGAAATGGTGGTATTAGTATTACCTATTTTGTCATATTGTGGAGAGGATTAAATGAGATAATACGTGGAAAGAACTGGTTTACCACAGTTCCGGTACATGCTGAGCCCACAATAAGAGTTAGTGTTACCGTTCTTAATTCCTCCTTGAAGAAGGAGGTAGGAAATCTGAGTAAGAGCAGAGGAAGCCTGGTGGGGGTGAAGGGTAGGGCAAAGACGTCCTGGGCTGAAACCAGCTCCTGTAGGTCATCCCAGTCATCCCCCTGCCTCAGATCTCCAATTGTGACATCCTGAGCAATCTTAGGTGCCTCTCATCTCACACGACATCTCCTGAAAGTCCTCCCTGAGGTCTAACCAACAAGGAAGGCTGTGTCTTTAGAGAACGGAGGTGGAGGCAGGGCTCCCCCTGCCCTGCCCCACCATGCCCTCCTGTAACCCTGCTGATACAATCTCCAAGTCACCGCTGTGCCAAGGGCACCCCCCCACACACACTTCCTGTCCGGGGGCCTGGTGGTTACGACTTGGAGATGGGCAGGCTGATGGGTTTCAGGCAGCAGGAGTGTCCCAGAGGGCACACTGAGCAGAGAGGTTAGAAAAGAGCAGTAGAGCATGCAACTCTTGATCTCAGGGTCGAGTTCGAGCCCCATGTTGGGTGTAGAGCTTACTCAAAAAAAAAAAGCAGCTGTGGGGTTCTAGTGGGAGGAAAAGGAAGATAAAGAGAAAACATGTCAAAGGCCTAAATGCCGCATCCTTTACCGTCACTCTCGGTCGGCAAAGCTGGGGCTGCTGGTGTCTGACCGGAGTAATGCAGAACGGCAAGGGCTTTGAGCCTGAGGACTGGAGGAGAGGCACACTGGACAGGCAGCATATGGCGCCGGGTCGGGGGCTGTAAAATATGTTCCCTGCCTCCTTCCCCTCCTCCCACCACAGGCACACGGTTGTTCAGGAGCAGCCCACAGCCACCTGCCACCCCTGGGCACCTGGACTGTAGCTCAGTCTGGGCCAGATGGGGATTGATGCTGGGGAAGGAAGAGGAGCCTAGGGGACTTTAAGGGGCCTCCATCCTTCATTTACATCCTCATTTTCCTTCCTTACTCCTAGCCCCTAAGACTTGTAGCCCCAAGCAGTTTGCCTGCAGAGACCAGATCACCTGTATCTCAAAGGGCTGGCGGTGTGATGGTGAGAGGGACTGCCCGGATGGATCTGATGAGGCCCCTGAGATTTGTAAGTACCTTTTCTGATCCCTCCCCCTAAACACCTTTTCCTTTTGGCCCAGGCAGTTTGGGATAAGGACAGCTGATCTCTAGCCCGGTGTGGACCTTGCTCTGTGATTGTTTGTCCATGACACAGCTAAAACTCTCCCCCTCTTCAAAGTGCCCGGCATGGTGCCTGATGTGCTCCGAAATGGCATCTCTGATTGCTCCGTTAACGGCTGCACCCCCAAGCCTGTCAGCGACTTTGTTGTCTGGGCTGACAGCTTTGCTGGAAGGAGAGAGCCTGGCTTCCCTGCCCTTCTGGCTCGGTCTTCTAACCATCTCGGAGACTTCTGACTCTTGATAAGTGCCCCCAGGTCTTGCCAGATCCCCTTCCTATCCTCAGGCTCCCAGGCCAAAGGCCACTGGCTCTTGCTCAGCCTCTGTACCAGAAGCCCCACCCCCGGTGCGTTTCCCGCCACCCCCGCCTTCCCCTGCCCCAGTAAGTGGTGTAATCAGAGGCAGCTGTTTAAACTGGGAGAAAGGTCCCCACCCAGCCTTTACCCTGCCAGTGGGGGGTGGAGGACTTGCTGGCAGGACCCCAGAGTCCTGGGCAGCTGGCCGAGTCCTGGGGTCTCCACCTTTAGCCTCTCCCTGCTCGGCTAATCTGGGCCACGGTCTAGGAGACCCTGCATTCCTAGGTCTGTCCCTGTTCTCTCTCACAGCTCCATCCCCTGGCCTCTCCGCATACCCTCACCCACAATTATCAGGGGTAATTTTAGGGCCAGAAAGGGAGCCTCCAGTTCTCTCTGCCTCACCCCCATACCCTGCCCTCGAGGGGTGGGGCCAGAGATATTCTGCAAGCGTTTCTATGGTGAGGGTGGTTCAGCCTGGAGTCTCTTCTTGACTGATGCCACCTTTATGCCCTACATTTTGTTACCCTCGTGCTTGATGTTGGGGTGATGAAAGCCATGCAGAGGGGCCAGATCTTCCTTTAGTTGGATGCAAACCCCACCTTATACACATCCCCACACTGTTCCCATTCATATACGCTCCCAGGCCCACCATACTCACACACAGCCCCTCCTGGACACCCGTGTGGCCCTCCCCCACCCCACCCGCCACCCCGAGACTAAGGCAGATGTCAGCATAGACATATTCTCACTGCAACAGAGTCAACACTCTCAAACGGGGATGCAGAAGCCCGACCTCAGACAGATGCCCCCAGACCCTCACATACAAACTCAGACTCAGATTCAGACTGTGTACTCCTCCCCAGGCACCCGTGGACAGATGCACTCACATGCGGACACTCTCTCACTCACACACCCTGTCCATTGTGGAAACCAGTAGGTAGTGATCTGTCTCTCAGCCCACGGGCTCAGCCAGCATCCTAGTCTGCGTGGCCTCCTTAGGCTTCCCTGAGGAGCTCTACCCTGCTCGCCTTGGCCCATCATCAGTGGGCCCCAACCTTTGATGCTTCTCAAATCCTTCCAACCAGGCAGGCTGCTCTGGGGTCAGGCATTTAGAGTGGTGCTGTCCAATAGAAATATAATGCAAGCCACATATGCAATTTTGAAATCTCCTAGTAGCTACATTACAAAAGGTAAAAGTGGGGGCGCCTGGGTGGCTCAAGCAGTTGGACGTCCGACTCTTGGTATCGACTCAGGTCTTGGTCTCGGGGTTGTGGGTTCGGGCCCCCGCATTGGGCTCTGTGCTGGGTGGGGAGCCTACTTAATAAAAATAAAAATAAATTTAAAAGTAGTTAGGTGAAGTTAATTTTCACTTTATTTTACCCAATGTATCTGAAATATTATTATTTCAGTATATTAATCATAGAATATTAGTAATGAGATCTTTTGCGTTCTTTTGTGTGTATGTGTGTGTGTGTGTGTGTGTGTGTGTGTGTAGTATTAAGTCCTCCAAAGCCAGGGTGTATTTTATACTTCCGGTTCAAACTGGTCACATCTCAGGTACTCGATAGCCACATATGGCAGTTGCTATGTGTTGGACTGTGCAGCTCCAGAAAACTTGGTCTGGCTCTCAGCCCCAGGCTCCAGGCCCTGGGGAGCTATGGGAAGGCGGTGTTTTTTAACATGTGAGCCTCCCTGCCGAGGACTCTTGCTTTCCTTGGCTCATCCAACCCTCTCACCTCTAAACCTCAGCCCGTCTCCTGAGTGTACGATGTGGAGGTGCTGGGATCCATGGGTACCGGGCACGTGGGGAGTGGACTCTGCTGAAGGCCTAGTTCTCCCCTCCCCGTGGCTGTGTGGCTCCCGTGGGGGATGGTGTAAAAGAGCTCTAGGTGGGAGAATCTAAGCAGCCCCCGAGGCCTCCTGAGATGGAAGAAGTGCAGGTGTCTGAAACGCCGCTCTCGGTCTCCTCATCCCCTCTCCCAGTGGACAACTGGCCAGACAGCCAGTGTAGCCGGCTCGCTCACGCCAGCCTTTCCGTGTGCCCCCAGGTCCACAGAATAAGGCCCAGCGATGTCAGCCGAACGAGCACAATTGCCTGGGCACCGAGCTGTGTGTTCTCATGTCCCGCCTCTGCAACGGGGTCCAGGACTGCATGGATGGTTCAGACGAGGGGCCTCACTGCCGAGGTAAGGGCTCTTCCACCTCTCCTGCCCCAGGAGATGGATGCAGTGAGTTCTCAGCTGGGCACGTGATGGGTCTGGAGGCCCAGCGCCCGAGGACTGTCCTCACACCTCCAGTGGGGATGAGGCATTGTCCTGCTCCGGTGCTCCCAAATCAGTGGGCCTTTGGGCTTGGGGCTTAGTCAACAGCCCTGCGGGGATCAGCTGGGGCCCCGGCCTGGGCACTTCTCTTTGGCTGTGTGTGCCTGGGCAAGTCACTACCTCTTTCCGGACCCCAGGATCCCGCCTATAAAATGAGAGCTCTGCACTAGATCAGTATTTTCATCCTTCGTTGTTGTTGTAAATCGTGGGGTCCTTTCTTCAAATGGTTTCTTACATGAAACCTGAGTATGAACAGGGAAGGGCAGATGCTGTGATTGAAGCTGGGGGTGGGGATGTGGTGTTTGTTCCACCCTCCTCCCTGCCAGCCAGTGCCCCTGAAGACATCCGCCGGGGAAGTGCAGATCTTTGAGACACTCTAAAGTGGCTTGATGGGAAGGGCACCCAGGCCGAGGAGGAGGGAACTTTAGGAGGATAGGTCCCTTCCCCTCTGCGGCTCAGGTCACCAGCTCTACTGTTCTTCCCCTGAAGGCCCCTGTGGGCCAGGGAGAACCTGGGTCATTTGAGAGCAGTGGGGGAGGATTTGTCCCTACGGCGGAGCCTCAGGCCTGCGAGGCAGGGACTAGGGTATGGTGACTTCTCCCTTCTACTGAGCTCAAGGCCTCCAGAGCCTGAGCAAGCCCCTGGGTGAGGGTGGCATGCTGCTTGTCAGAAACATCTGCCTGTGGGAGGAGACACATCTGGATCCTGTTCACCAAGGGCAGGGAGTGTGGAGCAAGGAGTTTGTGGAAGATTTTTATCCTTTCCTTGGGTCGAGTTTGCATGTTTTTGTCTAGAGCTCCTGGGATGGGATGCAGAGCTTGGGCCTAGGGGCTGACTTTAATGACCATGCCCATCACATCTTATTGCGTGGTATATGTTCAAGTTTGCTTCCCTTTGAATACTTTGTCAGCATCGAAAACAACAAAGAACCTTGAGAACCTAGGGTTTGAACTTCCTTCTCTGCTATTAGAGAAGTTGGGCCTCCTTATCCTCCTGCCACATGTCCAGAAGAGAAATTCTTTTCTAGATTTTTCTGAACAAACAATATCGTCCCCCCCCACCCCGGCCCTCCCCCACTTTGTGGGGAAAGCCTGGCCAGGCAGCACCTTTGGGCTCCCGGGTGGAGGTGGAGAAGAGAAGAAATCAGTGGAGACTGGCCCCCCATCCCAGCTCCTCCTGGCAGGCTTAGTGCCTCTGAACATCTTAGCATCTCGGGCAGCGCTCTCTTCTCGGTGGGGGGGAAGCGGGGGTGTGAGGCAGCTGGACAAAGGGGTCTTTGTGGCCGGGCCGCCCGGCCCCACGCAAGGCCATTAATTGGGTCGCTGGTATTGGGGGGGCAGCTGCTCCCCCACCTCTTCCCCCTCCTGTCTCATTCCCTTCTGTCTCCCCTGTGGAAGTGGGTCAGTGGCAAGAGGAAGATTAGAGAAAGGTCCTGAGGGAAGCAGTTTTGTTCCTCCTCCCATTTTCCACCTAGACCTTGGACCTTCTCTCTGAGGCCTCCAGGGCTTAAGGGATGGGTTAGAGGGGTGCTTCCAGACCAAAGCTGGGATCCTGAGGGGAAAGACCCCACGCCATGCCCACTCCTCCCCCTTAGCCCCGAAGCCAGCGTTGGAGTTCCTGGGCCGTGCAGATAAGAGGCAAATGAAGGGGCCGAGACTCACTGTCCTCGCTCCCTGTTGACCCCAGCAACTGCCAGAACCCCTCTCCACGGGGACGGAGGGAGTCCAGAGCTACCAGGGCAGGCAGATATGGCCTCTAAGCCATAATTGGCTATGGGACCTTGGGCCCATCTTATACCCTCCCTGGGTCTCAGTTTCCTCACTTGCAAAATATATTAGATGATTCCTGAAGCCTCTTCCATCTCTGACGCTGCGGGCCTTGGAAGTGGTTTCCCAAGGGTTGACGGGAGGCGGGGGAAGGTGGCAGTCTGGGGGCCTGAGTATGTGCTGCCTGCCCCCCCGCAGAGCTCCAAGGACCCTGTTCTCAGCTGGGCTGCCAGCACCATTGTGTCCCCACACTCAACGGGCCCACCTGCTACTGCAACAACAGCTTTCAGCTGCAGGCAGATGGCAAGACCTGCAAAGGTATGTGAGCGCATGTGCTTGTGTGTCCGTGTGTACATGCTGGGGGGGGCATGCGTGGCTGGGGGGCAGGCGTGGGGCAGGGCCGGCGGGTAGGAGGAGAGTGAGACGGAAGGTACAGACAGGAGGCCCACCCCGGGGCGTGACTGTGAGCCCTGACCACTTGCTGCCACCAGATTTCTAAATTCCTCTCAAAATCTCATGGGTCGGATATGTGAGTTTTCTTGTAAAAACCTTAAAGCATTATAGATAAAACCAAAGTCCCCTTTGACCGATCCTCTTCAGCTCTGCTCCCTTTCCCATCTCTGGAGGTCAGCTGTGTTATCGGTTTGCTGCCTCTGTCTCTAGGCCTTTCTCTGCGCATTGGAATGCATGGATCCGCAGATAATCCAATTGAAAGTGTTATTTATGTGCGTGCGCCCTTTTCACATAAATATCACATGGTACATACCTTTCTTCAGTTTTTCCACTCAGTATGTTCTGGAGATTTTTCTGTATTAATATGTAGAGATCTACCTTGTTCTTTTAGAAACCACTGTGAAGTAGGACTATTACTACAGTTTACTTGGCCATCTCCCTATTGGTGAGATGTTCCAATTTCTCTCTGTCACGAACAGTGCTTCCTCTTCTGTTTTAAATTTACCTCCCTTGGCTCTTTGCACAAATGCCACTTTCTCAGGGAGGCCATCCCTAAAATCACAACCCACTGCCTGCATTTTCTACCCCCATCTCCGCTTAATATTTTTCCCACCAGTCACTTTCCACTGCACTAGCCTTTCTTTTTTTTTTTTTTT